AGAACAAGGGGATGCTGCGTGGTTTAAAGTCAAGAAAGGTGTGCATCAGGGTTGTATCCTTTCGCCATACTTATTCAATCTGTATGCTGAGCAAACAATCCGAGAAGCTGGACTATATGAAGAAGAATATAGCATCAGGATTGGAGGAAAACTCATTAACAATCTGTGATATGCAGATGACACAACCTTGCTTGCTGAAAGTGAGGAACTGAAGCACTTACTGATGAAGATCAAGGACTACAGCCTTCACTATGGATTACAGCTCAACATAAAGAAAACAAAAATCCTTACAACTAGGCTAACAACATGATAATTGGAGAAAATATTGATGTTGTCAAGGATTTCATTTTTACTTGGATCCACAATTAATGCCCATGGAAGCAGCAGTCAAGAAATCAAACAAGGTATTGCATTAGGCAAATCTGCTGCAAAAGTTCTCTTTAAAGTGTTAAAAAGCAAGATGTTACTTTGAGGACTAAGGGGAGCCTGACCCACCAAAAAAACCAAACCTGTTGCCGTCGAGTCAATTCTGACTCATAGCGACCTTATATATGAGCTATGAGTTCCTGACCCAAGCCATGGTGTTTTCAATCGCCCCATATGCATGTGAAAGCTGGACAATGAATAAAGAAGACCAAAGAAGACTTGATGCCTTTAAATTATGGTATTGGCGAAGAATATTAACCATACCATGGACTGCCAGAAGAACAAATAAATGTGTCTTGGAAGAAGTACCAGAAGTACCAGAATGCTCCTTAAAAGCTAGAATGGCAAGACTTGGTCTCCTGTACTTTCAGCATGTTATCAGGAGGGACCAGTCCCTGGAGAAGGACATCAAGGTAAAGTAAATGGTAAGCAAAAGAGAGGAAGACCCTCAAGGAGATGGACTGACACAGCGGCTGCAACAAAGATGGGCTCAAACATAGCAACGATTGTGAGAATGGCGCAAGACGGAACGCTGTTTCATTCTGTTGTACGTGGAGTCACTACGAGTCAGAACCAACTGGCACCTAACAACAACATTCATTTTACTGAGTCAGAGGTTTAAAATCTCAGCATCATCTTAGATTCTTCCTCTTCCAATTCTCTGCCTACTCCTAAAATGATTCTCCAAATTCTATAGCTTCTTCTTTCTGAGAGTGCCTTACTGGCCTGAGCCATCTTTGGAAGTTTGCAGCTTGCCTCCAATGGCATCAGTGAAAATAGCCGTCTGACATCCAGTGGTAGCATTAACGATGGATTAGCTGTGATTTGTTTAGTTCTTTAAAGTACAAAAGTAATCTCTGGCTGATTATTTGTGGCTAAAGTTGGTGCAAACTGTTAATGCTCTCAGCTACTAATCAAAAGTTTGGAGGTTTGCACAGTCCTACTCTGACACACATGAGGTCACCATGAATAGACTCAAGGGCAACTAGTAACTGGTACAGTGGAATTAATTTGTCTTTTTTGTGAATAAATATCTCAATCACAATCTGTCTTGACTTTCTAACTGGTCTCTCACCTTCAGCACCCTTCCAGGGACATCTCACACCATTTTCAAATGAATCCTATGAAAGTTCCCCCTTTTATCATACCCTTCTCTTCCTCAAAAATCTTTAGACTTTTCCATTGCCATTACTAGACAGAGCCCAATTCTCCTGTTAGATTTTCAAGGATCTCTT